AGCGTGCGTGCCTGCGTGCGTGCGTGTATGTGTGTGGTTTTAATAAAGTTTAAACGAACTATCGAAGTTTAAATTTTGAAGTTTTATTCAGTTGATTACTTATCATAAGACAAGTTTACGCTCGTAAAGTTACTAAACAAGTACATTTGTTGCTGATAAGAAAAGAAACAAGACATAATTGTGATATGCATATTGCAGAACGAAAGATTTTGAAAAGGAACGTTTACTTAGTAATTCTCGTTTTTTTTTATACAAACAATAAAATGCCTTCACGTCATTTAAATAAAGAGTCGCGTATTTTAAAACTCTACGCCTCTTTGGAACGGATTGCTGAGAATGATGATATCGAGAGCAAAGAGCTTGAAGAAATGAAATCCAATTTTACATCATTCTTTGAATATCTAAAAAATAATACAAGAAAAAAAGAAAATATATTGGATTTAGTTAAGAATGAAAACTTTCTAAAAAATACAGAAATAACAGGAAATGATTTGAGGGAGATCTGTATCAAAAACAAAACCGATTTTAAGTTAAATGGGAAGTAGCTGTTATTTCGTGCCATGTCAATCAGAAAGGGAAATGGTCTGCGAAAGGACATCCTTGACGAAATTATCGTACACTTGATTGAGAATTTTCCGGATCTCATCACATTGGAACTGTTTCATGAATCCAAGGAGAGTACAGGAGTTACCCCCATTCATCTTGCCGTAGTGCAAGAAGATACAGAACTTCTAAAGTCAATGGCAAAACATAGAACAAATTGTGAAGAAAAAATTAAAAACGCAGACGGTGAAATATTTCAAGGTACAGTAATGATGGCTGGAACTCTACTTGGAATTGCTGCTTTAAAATGCAACGAGAAAATATTCAGAATTATTCTCGAGAACTTTGAACAGGAAATGGATGTTACTAATAAAAAGGGTGATAATATTATCCATTCTTTTATAAAATATGCTTGTATTCAACCAGATAAGCTAGACTCAGTACTCAATATACTAAGGTACATTACATGCTGCAAATTTATTCAAAATGAATCAATTAAAGAAAAGAACGAATCCAGATTTTATGTGGAAAATGAAAGCATGTACAGGAAGCAAGTTGGAAAACTATTGATGATGAAAAATAGGGAAAAATTTACACCATTGCAACTGGCAACTAAACGGGAGCAGTACAAAATATTTGATATTATAATAAACCATGAGGTATGTTTTTAAGAAATCTTCTTGAATTACATAATAAACCTAAATGCGAGGCTTGTAATAAATATGTTATGCCAACGAGGCAAAACGTGTTGCTTTATTTTCGATGTTTTTAGGAGATCTCCTATTTTTATGCCCCGAAGGGTGGCATATTTAAACTGCACCGTCCGTCCATCTGTCCGGCATTCGTGTCCGGATAGTACCTTTTTCATGCATTGAGGTACTTGACAATAACTTTGCACAAATGTCTATTACATCAAGACTATGTGTCGCTTCGGAGAATCTTGTCCCTACCTCAAATAAAAGGTTGAGGTCACAATTACAGTCTGAAGGTTCACAGTATTGAGAAGGCAATGAACATAGTACATGTAGTAAAAAGGGCATTACCACAAGGGAAAGGTAAGTGATTCTAGTGTTGATGTATTCTTAAACATGTTTATGATTATTGAATTGACATGTTTGGTTATAATTTACCAGTATGTTAATTGTTAAAGGCTGGTGATGAAAGAATGGTCTTAGTTTAAAAATATATTATTTTTCTTTAAATTTAGACATTATATTTGTTTAAATTACATAGACTTAATTGATTGATTTATATTGCAAGGATTGTGGGCAGTTGTAAATAATGCTGGTATATCTGGTGGAATTGGATCGATCAACCTGCATTCAAGAAAAGACTATGATGACACATTAGCTGTGAATTTGTTTGGAGTTATAATGGTAACTAAAGCATTTCTCCAATTAGTCATCATGGAAAAGGGACGTTTTGTTAATACATCAAGTGTTATGGGAAGAGTCGCCGCCTTATGTTTGTCATATAGCATTTCAAAATATGGTGTGGAGGCATTTTCAGATGTTCTCAGGTGCTTAACTAGTTCCTTTTATTTCCTTGTAAACCTTAGATAGACTTGTCAAATGTTCCTTTTAAGGACTGCCCATTGTCTTTGAAAAAAGACAATACCAACTCGTAGAATCCGGTCACATTGCCCCGATGTGCAGACTGGTTAAATCTGTCAAAGCATAATTGAAATCACATATATTTAAAATATTTTGAGTTCAACAGTTATTTGAAAATAATGAATGAGTGTAGGGGCAATACTGAATTTATTGAACGAGACTCCGGGGAGCATTATTTTACTCAACGAGTTCAATATCTTGAGTAATGAAGCTACACACACATAATCTTCTTTTTATTTATCACATACATAAAAAATAAGAATTGTTTACATTGAAATAGAATCAACGAATTCATTGATGAGATCATGGTGTAACGCTAACATTTGGCGCGTCTTAACGCTTTGTTTGCACAACGCAATGGACATCACATTCTATATTTGCACGACATTGCAAAATCTTTTCTTTTTTTTTTCGGAAATTCGTGATTAATTTAAAATGCATACCGACCGTGCAATTTATTTTTCATGCACATATGACAAAATTGTGACTTGAAATATGATATTGTAAAACTTCATGGTTTAGCGTGAGCTTAAATACCTCGTTAGTGAACCTTGCCCTTTAGATTTGTATATGAACATTTACACTAAAACAATATTGTGCAAGTATTATATTCACTTGTGGATTCGTTTTAGGAGAGAAATGTATAGAAAGGGTGTAAAAGTGCAAATCATAGAGCCAGGAGCTTTCAAAACTACAATTTGGGGCAGAGGAAATCTCCGTCGCTTGGCAGAAGAAAAAGTGGCGAGTTTGTCAGCTGAGGTCAGAGCACAACTTCCAAACGACGCTGTTGAAAAACGTAATGGTTAAGTAAATAATTTCTAAAAGTAAAATATGCGTTCTTATTTTCCTTGTTTTGATAAAATCAACTATATGTGTTTTTTTTCAATTATAGAAATTTCAATTAAATCATTAGTTTTCAAACACAAGAATATGTGTCATAGAAGTATGAAATATCATGTTACCAAAACAAATGGCTACAAGAAAAGAAAAAACATGAAAAACTGAATTCTTAAAAAGACTTATATTTAATTATTTCAACTCGAACCTGTTTATCTGTATTGATATTGAAAGTGTTTGCTTTTCTTTGCGGCAAAAGTTTCAATGATTATAAAAGCTGTTGTTGGTGTGGTTGTTGTTGTTGTGGTTGTTGTTTTTGCTGTTGTAATTGTTTAATAAAATCAGAAAAATAACTGTCAAATAAAAATGAAATCGGAAATAAAACTCAATAAAATTCGCTAAATGTTAAACGAATAAAAATGTACTAGTATTACACAATTATTTCATGGGTATTTGTGGAACAGTCAAAACTGTTGCCTCGAGGTATCAACGATGACAATTGGAACTGCTACCAGAGGCCAAAGGCCCATGAAAAACTCCCATGAAATAATTGTTTTATTACCTAATACTCAATTAAACTACATTATGTGGAAATTTTACTTCATATTTTTACAATGGAACTCCTAGAGATCTATTATGTGTTCTGATTGAATATCACCCTCCTAGGATATATTCCCTGGGGAATATTTCTGTTATCACCCAGGGGCACATTACTCTTGCATTACTCGATAACAATAAAAAATAACTTTGATCACTATCAAATAGATAGAAATTATTGTTCACAAAGCTTCATAACTACATTTCATAGTTTTAATATGATATTTAAAGGATTATACATGTATATTGTGTCTCAACTTTATGTAGAAATGTATAACATCATTCTTGAACTGTTATTGTTATGTTTATTGCTTTGAGCAAAATATGAAATGTAAACTGATGATGAGTATTCTATTTATTTCCTTGACTGCGGACTTTATAAATAGTGTAGTTGTAGGTATTTTGGTAAATTAAAATGGATAACACATGGCTGTCGGGGTGATAGAGGATATTGCCAACCCTTGAACTGGCATATTGATTTTTAGTTGATTGAATCATTTTTTAAACTTTTCACGTCATGCGAATCGTATGAACGAGGTCAAAACTTACAGTCTTACACAAAGCAAAATCATATTGTGTTGATTATTTTTATTTATGAACAATATTATTGATTATTGATTATTGTTTTCTTTTTAAAGTTGACGGGGTTCTTCGGCCGTTGATGGAATCTGCATCGCCAAATATTCAACCTGTTATAGACGCCTACATACATTCTGTTACGTCGAAATTTCCTAAAAAGAGGTACATTACTTAGTTTTTGCCGGACATATATAGAATGATTTAGTTGGTTGATTTAAAGCATTTATGATAAGAAAATATGTTATAATGAGTGCTTTTTCAGATAGCTGTTTCAATAGTTTTTTACAAAATTTATTTTAGTTCGAGTGTGTAGGAGGCAAGACATAAGCTTTTAGACATATTCTCGTTTCCGTTACCGGGACCAACCAATACTAATACTGGGTAATGTTTACTACTCAAAGAAACATCGGTTTGTCCCTGAGGGGATTTGAACACACTTGGCTAGCAATCCTTAGATTACATGTTCAATGCGTTAACCACTCGGCCATGCCGTCACTTCACTGCTTCCTTGAGAGTGGGAGGAAAGTATTCGACCATCTTCGAAAATATTAATAACAAAAACATTTCATTTATGTCAGAACATTAAGTTTACGAATAAAGATTGAAAGATTGATACGTACAAAAAGGAAGTAATGATGAGTGTCGCATGAGTAACCACCGGCAGCATTTTCCAATTTTGTCGTGATATACTCCTCCATGTTTCCGCCTTTTACTGTAATAGTTCTACAATACCATATATAATATATATATTCGAATACCGCAATATTTGTATTATCCAAGAGATGTGCACACAAAAAAACTATCAATAAAAATTATTTTTTCTTGTTTTAGATATTTGGTAGGCACAGACACACTTTGGATTCGGATCATGTGGAATTTGCCTGAATGTATCGGCGACTTCATTGCAGATCGACTTGGTTTTAACTCAATTTGAAACTTTATTATTCAATAAAGCGAAAACCATATTTTTATCCACTGTCCACACCTAATTAAGACGATGTCATTATGAAAAAAGGTTTACATACCCTCGTAGTTACTTAGATTTTCATTTATATATATACTACTATATATTACTACTCATGGTATTAAACATGTTTTATATCATTAGAATTGCTATATGTATAAATGATCAGTTTGGTGAACATTTTCATAATAATAAGACATTCGTTTTCAACACGTTGGATTTTCTTAATTTGTAAAGTCAAGAAATGATGGTAAAATAGCATTTTCAGCGTTTAATTTGCTACAAAAAACAAACAACACGTTGGAAGCAAAGGATAATGCGCACTTAGACATTCTCAAACCACACATTCTACATGGCATTGTCCAGAACACTAAGAAATATGTACATAAACTTAGAATAACTATGATTCACATGGATATTTGCATAAATTATGCTGTTTTTTAACTACCTTAAAATTTTGGCGGCCAAATTCAAAGTAAAACCAGATGTGATTATGGAAAACAGAAATCTGGAAGAGTAAATCAAGTTAACATGCAATAATTCAACGGATTTAAATCTAAACATACTACTGTTGAGGCACTATAGTAAGTATGTTATTCGGACGAAGTCCGTCTGTCATCAGTTTGACTTCCTGTAAAATTAACAAGGAAGGACTGAATATAAGAAGAATTTTCATTGGTCATTTTAAAACTACAAACACACTGAAATATGTGAATCTCATTGGTCATTCTATAATAAAAAGGAACGGACAGTTCTTACAAATCAAGGATAGTTTTGACCATTCTAAAAAAAACTTTAAGGATAGTTCCACCGGGGGAGGGGGTATCACGTGACTTTGTATAGTAATACCCACGAGAAATTTGGCGACTGCTGAGCCCTGGTAAGTACCTTATTATGTTAAATTAAGGTGACAAGCGTTTCTTAAATCAAAACAAAACCTAGCATATCATATACGCGGAAATGTTCTTCAAATGACAATACAAAGTGCATTTTCCTACATTTTGTGGTTTTTGAGAATATTGTTTGAATTGTGTGAAAATTGCACATGCAGCGATAGTTATACGCACGAAGCGGTATAATTTGGTACCAAAATAAATAAAAATATGCTTTCCTTTCTTTCTGCACTCAAGACACCAAGTCAATCATTTTTTATTGGCATCTGTTATCATAGAAGTCCATATAAAATTTTGTTCGAAGGTCTGTAGCCTACAAATGTTCTTTGCTAGTGTTTAGTAAGTAAAACGAACAATTTCTGGATAGTAAGTAGCACGAAAACAAAATAGTAAATTTCATATGTAAAGAGATAGATCTAGAAATACTTATTTTATTCTATTATTCAAGATCAAATATTTCACTTTTGTCAATAGGACGAATGCTTAATTGGTTGTTTTTTTTATAATATATCAAATGAACTTTTGATGGGAATGGGATTTGATATCACACGGCTCAGTGTTTTCTTTTCTTTTAAATAACTTCCTCAAAAAAAATCCAATGATACAGTGATTCGAGTTATGATTGCATCAGAAATCCATATTGTTTTAATTCTTTTGAAATGTCAAACGTGTGTTTGATAATGTTTTAGTAATGGATAGAACGCATGATATAGAGAATATTGTTTAGTTCAGTGTAAGATCGGAACATATTTCTCCGAGTGAGCACCAAAAGGTACATTTCACGAATGGCGCAGCCACGAGTGAAATATGAACTTTTGGTGTTCACGAGGTGAAATATATTTCAATCCTACTCTGAACTAAACAAATTCTATTTTTATTATATGCAGAGAAATGTTTAAAAAGACATTTTAACCTAATACTAAATGAAAAGCGCGCCAAAAAATAATAAAACGTGACGTAACTTATGACGTCACGCCATTAAGTTGGTTTCCAGTACTGTGTAAGCTGGTATTTCACTGAAACAACGTAACGGGCTTAAATATAAAACAGTGAAATTATATTTTTCTTCACTGATATATTTCTTTAAACCACCGAAAATCATGTAATAAATACAGGATATTGAATGAGTGTAGTTTAATACTAAATTTATTGAACGAGGAGTTGAATAAAATCATATTATGCGAGCCTCTGGCGAGCATAATATTGTTTTATTTAACGAGTTCAATAAATTTAGTATTGAATCTACACGAATATAATATTCTATTTATCACATATATAAAATAAGAACAGTAAACTGTTAAAATGAGTAATTTTTCAATGACGCGCCCTAGTGTAACGCTAACATTAGCGCGCTTTAACGCTATGTTTCTATATAGCGCAAATCACGTCACGTCAAAGTGTTATTACACTAGTGTAATATCGTTTTTATTAAATGGCTTTATTACACTCCTGCGCTGCGGTTTATGTGATAAAGTATTTTATTACAACTGAAAAAGGTAGCGCTGAACATTAAGTGATGTGTCGTAAAGATAGCGAAATATAAACAAAGTAGTGTTTTGACTTCCATACAAAATACTTATTCACTAAAGGTATACCACTTGCCAACAAAATTAAAGATGCAAAAGATAATTTGGGTATCTAGCAAATGTTTTCGGAAACTGTAACAAGATACAAAAAAAATAAACAGTTTGTTTTTTTAAATAAAAATGATAGCATTTCACAGGCATAATGGGCCTTTAGAGAAAAACGAATATTTGAAATCAAACCGTCAAAGATATTTGTACTTTTTAAAGTGAAGGCAAATGGAGTAAAACATATTATTTACATATGCTGGGTTTTAAATCACACCGTCACTGTCATTACACCTGAGTTAAACCACCGCCGTTTCGTTAGCTAGTTTGATAAAAGAATTCAAGGACGCTGGTGAGACTATAAATCATAGCGGTGAGAAGCATGTGTATAAAAATCAGTCGGCCATGGAAGCCCTGAATATCTATATTTACTTGCTCTATCACAATCAAACAGTAAGAGTTTACGACGCAACACATTTGTGCACATGATAGGTAAATAAGCGTATACTAATACATAACGTTTTAACAAAACTTCTTGTGTTTATTTATAAAATCTACCAGTATATAAAAGAGTAAATTTAATAAAAACTTGGTATACCTGTTCTATGACGGCATTAAATATCAATATGGCGAATGTCCTCTCCTTTGCGTTTTTGGTCCATATTGCAGATACTGAAAAAGTAAATGATAGTGTTGTAATATTTCCTTCTGCACAGTTATTTCTTTGTACATCTAGTTCTACAGATGACGGATGTGTGTCCGATCTAACGTGAAAAAGGGCCATGTGAAACGTACATTGTTAAGTATCAATATCAATGTCTCATTTATTTATTATTTTTAAGTTAAGTAACCTTTTATGAAATTACACGAATATGAATATTATGAAATAGAATGAATTATTATTAAAATACTTTCTCGACATTTGTTTCTCTGTCACCGTACTTGCAAATTAGTAAGCCAAAAGAATTATAAAATAGTTTCGTCACATTTTAGAAAGCTATTGGAAACTGTGCGTAAAACTTACTATAATTTTGTTTTCGTGCTATTTACTATCCAGATATTGTTCGTTTTACTTACTAAACACTTGCAAAGAACATTTATAGGATACAGGCCTTTTTATATGGCTTTCTACGATAACAGATGCCAATAAAATGATTGATTTGGTGTCTTAAATGCAAAAAGAAAGCTTATTTCATTTATTTTGGTACCAAATCATACCGCTTCGTGCGAATTACTATCGCTGCATATGCAATTTTCACACAATTCAAACAATGTTCTCAAAAACCACAAAACGTAGGAAAATGCACTTTAAAGAAAATTTCCGCGCATATGATACGCTAGGTTTTGTTTTGATTTAAGAAACGCTTGTCACCTTAATTTAACATAATAAGGTACTTACCAGGGCTCAGCAGTCGCCATTTTCTCGTGGGTATTACTATACAAAGTCACGTGACCCCCCCCCCCCCCAAAAAAAAAAAAAAATTTATAAAGTATAACCAGTAAAAGATACACCTCAAATAGAAGTTGTCATTCCTTGAAAAGTCATCAATATCAATCTGTTATGATTTAATTTCAATGTTACAAAATGGGTATTTTTTCTTTATAGCTACAAGAAATAATTATCATATATGTATTACAAGTATAATTTGCTCACAATAGATCACAAAATCTCTATACGTGTGTATTGTATGGTATCAAAAATTCAATTGAGTTCAATTTTTTACACTATACTGTATACACGTATAGAGATTTTGTACATACATCTTTTTAGGAGGTGGGGGCGTTGCTGCTTTTTTTTTGTTGGTAGGGGGTTGTTCTCAATTGTTCATCTTCTTTTGATTCTTGTTTTAACATGACAACGTTTAGATGGCTTTAACACGCATGCAGTGCCACAAATTCCATATACACCTACAGAAAACCTTGTTAAAAGCTAAAGACCTAGCTTTCTTACATTTGGTATGGGCTCAAAGAGGTGAGCAATGTTTATAGAATAACAGACCGGTGTTTAATATTTAGTCCGCTATGAAATGATGTGTAGGCTTTTATTAATATATGTCTGCCTTAATTTCTTAGAAATTTGGTATATATGTTCCATGCATGTTTTCGTAACCAGTTATAGGAGTAAAGCTCCCACTACCTTATTGGATATTATTTTCCAAATCCTTTATATATTAAAGCCTTCATCTCCATTTATTGACCACTATCTACGATAGTGTCCATGTTTGTGGCTTATACAGATATATACCAACAAATATATCGAATTAGAGGCAAATAGTATTGATGCAACAATGCTTAAATAGGTATCTCTATTTTTCATCGAAGAGATGTGGGTAGTTGCAATCATTTCAGCGATCTATATTGATGGCATTATGACCACCATGGTTTTGAAAGCTTACAAACTATGCTGAGTTCAAAATACTGCTGAGTACTGAATATACAAGCACATATTTGGATCCTGGTCAAATCATTTTATTTTCATTTTTTACTTTGTCAGTTTCATTATGAACTACGTGTCAGGTGAGTGAACATTGCAAGTTGAAACCTATTTAAAACTACTGTGAATACACAGCCTAAAAGAGAAAAGATCGCAGATGTTTAATAAATTATTTTTATATATAGCACAGGGCGTTCATATGTAAAACCTGTTATTGTCAATAACAAAGAAAACTGTTCCTCTAGGAGGTTTACCTCTGAAAGTCATGAAAAGAAAGAAAAATAAGAACCGGCAAAAAAAAACATATCAAAATATAAACTGGCCAGATAAGTGCGAAAGTATTAAGATATACGGTACCAAATAACAAGTCTTCTTAAGTCGACTGCAAGAAACCAAAGATTTTGTTAAAATAATCCAGATATATATTTTTTATTTGCAAATTAAAAAAAATCATAAACTAGCTTTTTTAAAAGGTTTGTTATTATAAGCGATCTTTTACAATATTTTAAAAGGGGGACAATACTGACTGACATAAGATAACATTTTTTGAGTTTAGGGCCTTATATGCTTATTGAAGTAAAAGGGAACGTTGATAGTTTTATGTGAATTGAAAAAAGCAAGAGTAAATGATTAGGAAAATACCTTTTCTATTAATAGTTTTACACCATTATCTTTTCTTCCATTATAAATATAACGATTGAAACTGTTTGCAATTTCAGCATAAAGCTTTTTTCAACAAGTTTAAAGTTAATATATTTGATTTTGTTCTTTCTTAGAAAAGAATGTTTGGTGCTATTTAAGAGAACTTTGGATCATTACTGCTTTACTTAGATTTAATTCTCATGTAACGCTTACATTTTGTGGCACAAAGGTAGCATGTGTGTCTGTGTGTCTTTGTATTTGTCTCGTGCGCACGAGATACTATGTCGTG